CAGAGTGTAGTAGAACTGACTGACTTCAATAAAGACTTCTCTCCAGAGACGCTCAATTCACTGGTTGTGTACAGACAACCCAGCAATTTTGCTTCTCCTATTAAATCCCCTGCGCCATAGTATAGCTCTTCCTACCTCTAAATTTTCATCCCCTTCGTCTAAACACACTCTAGAGGGTAATCCATAACTTTGCACAGCAGCTAAGAAGAGAGCGAGCCCAGTCGCAGCAGAATTGTTTGTTGCACAACTTAAAGTCTAAAGCCCTGTCAAAACCACTGTGTATTACAAACCTCCAACTGATAAGGCAGTGTAGTCCATCGATATGCCAGAGAGAATTAGATCCCCTGACGCTGTCAACACGCCTTGTGAAAAAAACTTTCCCTCACATGCTGACGCTGAACATAGATATTTCTACTTCACAAATAACCCAGCACGATACTGATACCAGAATTGGAAAACCCACATCAGTCTTATTTCTCGAATCATCAGGGCCGGGTTGTTTGAAAGCCAGTTAACGCTAACCCAAGATTAAAGGTTAACCCAAATATAAATTTTTCTCTATAAAAAATGTCTTCCAAGGCTTATGCTTTATGTAGTTTGCGATTACTCAAGTTCAAAACTGAACTGCAAACATTTCCCATCTATGTAGTAAGAGGCAGAATTCTCTCAGCATTCACTTGGACACCTCTGTCCTAACTGGTGAACAGAATCCACAGTAACTTCATGACGAACGATCAAGTTCTCTGCCATGTTACGATTAGCGTGAGGATAAAATCTTGAAAAGTCATTCAAAACATGCATAACTGTTTCTAGAAGTTCCGTCACTGGGGGAGCTGCAGTAACAAACATTAAATAGCAGATAGACCAAGACAAGGCATTTCACCACTGCCGCCATATAACCAATTTTTAATTAAAGTAATTTTCATTGCTATCATACACGAACATCCGTTCTCTTAAAAAGGCACATTTCGTGCTAGCATATACAACGTAATTTACGAGACCCGCATCTACGTGCATTTTAGCACGCGTATATATGGGTCCTTGTAGGACGTGTATATTTGGGCATTTATTTCGCATATCCCCGCCCTTGAATTTACGCAAATATGT